CAGTCAGATGCGTGGCTTATTCATGAATGATTCGACTTGGCCGTTTGTGAACGATTTGGGTTGGTCGCACAAACGGTCTGTCGACCACTGTGATCACAAGTCAGAGCGTTCACAAGATATGGATGGGGATGTTAGCAGTTTTGCAAACTTCATCAGCGGTTTCTTACCCGTAGCACCCTCACGAAAACCTTATTACCTTTTTCTAACCACTTGCTACCTAATCAATTCCAGCAGTTAATCAGTTCACAGTATCACCTTCATCAAGAACTAAACTAGCATTTTGCTCGGATTTGGGTTCAATGGCTAGTGCGACCACTGCGACCACACGTACCTCTTATTATGGATCGGCTGCACCCTAACAAACTCCCAATCCATTTATATCCTTGTTTCTATGAATGGGTTGGAGTGGTAAAACATCTGCGCTGGTGAAAATAGGCTAAATTCATCGACGGGCGCTGGACAAACGTTATGTGAGCCATGTACGCATCCAAGCTCTATCACGACCTCAAAGTATAAGTCGAACGCCGGCGCGTTCCCACTATAAGTATAAGTTTATTACGTTTGCATAAGGCACACGTGAGAAATAATTGACACCATTATGAATCACATGAACTGAACAAGAAATAACTACAAAACACCTATATTTTTAAGAACAACGAGCTTTGGTAATCAGTCTCAAAAAATGCTATGAACCTCTAGTTCTGAGTAATAATGTATATTATGTAATTATAAATATAATAATAATAAATAATAATAATAATAATAATAATAATAATAATAATAATAATAATAATAATATATAATAATATATAATAATAATAATAATAATAATATAATATATATATATATAATAATAATATATATAATATATAATATAATATAATATATATAATATATATAATATATAATAATATAATATAATATAATATAATATAATATAATATAATATAATAATATATATAATTTATAACTAATGATCAATGTGAACTCAGTCTATCTCTTAAAGCAGCTGATCTGGTCCAGTCATGGATCCAGACGTTTCTAAACATGGTGGGATTTTTTGGTCACCCTGAGATATTTTTTTGTGTTTCAAGCCCTTCTTATGAGGAAGTCAGGCTGCTTCAACTTTGGTCCCTTGAAACGCTCGTCTTCTCAGTCATCCCTCCACTGAGGACGAACAACAGTAGCTACATTTCGGCTACTTTTGTCGATTTATTAGATAAGATTGAAAATTTCTGATACAGCCATCAGTGAAGAAGAAAGTTGTTGTTATTCACTGCTAATTAGTCAGTTTCTCCCATGTAAAAAGAGTGTACTGCACGTGACAGCCCAGCAACGAAATGATTGCCACTTATCCCTTTATCACTATCCACTTTATATAACCACCCTGCTGGTAAGGGAAAGAAAGGTGAGGAAGCAGCGAAAGCACATGGGGCCTTGCTTCCCAGGGATTGCCACTTATTGTAGTTTTGATATAGTATTCAATTTTTTCGCATAAGAAGTCAAACTTTGTGAGCATTGAATCACTATCTTGTCCTGGGAAGCTAAATGAGTGGGTGGCGCACAATTGAATATTCCCAGGGCAGCGTGTTTTCGTTATTTACATGCCACCAAGTACACTTTCTCAGACTGATAAAGAAGTTGTTTACTGTGTTCTAAGGTCCTGTGTATCATGTGTTTAGAGGCTCATTCCGCTATAGAAAGAGCATTAGTAGTAAGGCGATGCAGTAGCTGCTAACTACCCTGCTGGTAAGGGAAAGGAAGGTGAGGAAGCAGCGAAAGCACATGGAGCCTTGCTTCTCAGGGATTGACTGGTAACGTTAGTCAGTCTGGAAGATACTGGATGCTTCGTTGGGAGAGTATACCTGAAGTTCAACCATATGAGAGACGAGCTAGACGTAAACTCCAGGCGGTCGCAAGGCGTGGACAGAGGCGTACGGGTAGTCAGAAAACTTACCCCCTGCCACTATTTTGAGTCGTACGGGTGGCACTGACTCTGAGGTTGTGAGCTCAGCCACTCTCGCTCGCATATGGATTCACAACTTCGAATCAAATAGACAGTACTCCTCGAATCACGCCTAGATTCAACGACGCTGATGGTAAGGGTAAAGTTTGCTCAGCATAGTGCTTGTAGTAGTGTTCAAATGAATGCTTCATTCGATTTGATTGAGTATTTTTTCACCTGGGTGCCGACTTCTGAACAAAAGTGTCGGCCGGATCTTGAAGGCAGTGATCACCATGGGTGAAGAATGGTGCGATTTTGGTGACAGTAGTGGAGTAGACCCCTAAGCGCGCTTGGGGGGGGTGGTTGAGACCGCCTGTTAATGTCCATCCACTAACACGTTCAACGACATCATCGAATTGCTTCCGGGCATCGTGAGACACTGCCTTCAAGCTGAGTCCGGATATTTACACCTCAAAAACAGCAGTGGGCATAGTAAAAAATCTTACTTAATATTCTGCTAGACTTTCTGAGAAACCATCTAGCACTGAAGCTGCTCAGTCAGACTTTTAACGCCTGTACCGTTTTCTCAAGAAAAAAAATTTCAGGTGCCAAGCTTTTTCAAAATGGTTTCTTGCATGACATTGGGGCACATATGGGGACCACAGAAGCATGGTTCATTTTTCCTGAACGGCTCCTCTGAATACCAGAAAAGGGGTCCCTAGTTCGATTCCTCGTGGTGACAAATTTTTGCATTTCGAGTTGACGTTTCCAAATTCGCGCAAAATGGAGTTAGCATGAATAATTAGTACCACATTCATGATTAGGACCGCGTCACGTAACCCTTACAAATAGACTTTGATTGAAAAACTGGTGAAAAAAGGTGTGGCTAGGGACACCCTTTTCT